TAGGTTAGGATTCACTGATCCCTGAGGTAATGGTCAGGATTCACCAACCCCTGAGATAATGGTCAGGATTCACCAACCCCTGAAGTAAATCTCAGGATGTACTGATCTCTGAGGAAATGGTTAGGATTCACTGACCCCTGAGGTAATAGTCAGGATTCACTGACCCCAGAAGTAAATCTCAGGATTCACTGACCCCTGAGGTAATATTAGGTCATGATTCACTGACCCCCTGAGGCAATATTAGGTCAGGATTCACTGACCCCCTGAGGTAATATTAGGTCAGGATTCACTGACCCCCTGAGGTAATATTAGGTCAGGATTCACTGACCCCTGAAGTAATGGTTGGGATTCACTGACACGTTAGGTAATGGTCAGGATTCACTGACCCCTGAGGTAATGGTTGGGATTCACTGACCCCTGAGGTCATGGTTGGGATTCACTCATCCCTGAGGTCATGGTTGGGATTCACTCATCCCTGAGGTCATGGTTGGGATTCACTCATCCCTGAGGTCATGGTTGGGATTCACTCATCCCTGAGGTAGGTGTTGGGATTTACTGACCCCTGAGGTAATGGTTGGGATTCACTGATCCCTGAGGTCATAGTTGGGATTCACTGACCCCTGAGGTAATGGTCAGGATTCACTGATCCCTGAGGTAATGGTTGGGTTTTACTGACCCCTGAGTAATGGTTGGGATTCACTCATACCTGAGGTAATGGTTGGGATTCACTCGTCCCTGAGATAGGTGTTGGGATTCACTGACCCATGAGGTAATGGTTGGGATTCACTGATCCCTGAGGTCATAGTTGGGATTCACTGACCCCTGAGGTAATGGTCAGGATTCACTGATCCCTGAGGTAATGGTTGGGTTTTACTGACCCCTGAGTAATGGTTGGGATTCACTCATACCTGAGGTAATGGTTGGGATTCACTCGTCCCTGAGATAGGTGTTGGGATTCACTGACCCATGAGGTAGGTAATGGTTGGGATTCACTCATATCTGAGGTAATGGTTGGGATTCACTCATTCCTGAGGTAGGTGTTGGGATTCACTCATTCCTGAGGTAGGTGTTGGGATTCACTGACCCATGAGGTAATGGTCGGGATTCACTGACCCCTAGGGTAGGTGTTGGGATTCATGCTGTTATAAGTGAATGAACAATATGTGAGGAATCTGTGAATTCATGAGGATAGGCCAGTGGCCACAGAACAGGAACAGCTATGGTTATGCAGAAGTTGTATGGGGGCTCCTTCACACCAATGCAGGGGGCTGTACTCCATCGAACACAAGTGTATTCCTGTGCCTGGTGATTTGCGTTTGTCCTCCAGTACAAGCAGCTGAACATACTGCAGCTATATGCTGGTAACGGCATCTCTGAGCATTTCCATGCATGTAGGGATGGATGAGCAAGTCTGGGACCCACCTTTGTCCCTGTATGGAAGCACTCAGGTAAGCGGTGACCAGTGTACAGGCAGCTGTAGGCACAACACCTGTCATGTCCGGGCACAGTGATACACATTTGATTTCTTTTACGGTGTGCAGCCCTCTGCAGCCATGGGAATGAGTTCTTATTAAGGAGTCAGACTTACGCCTTCTAATTATACAGTTGGGACTTGTGCGGCTATACTGCTGACCCTCTGAAAAGCGATCCACTTTTAAACCTCAAATTGCCACATGCATGCAGGTGTTGAATGTCTATATTCACCTGAATAGGTCGCGTTCAGCAGTGGTACCACCTGTTGCATCCAGGGGTCAGTGAATCCTGACCAAATATTACCTCGGGGATCAGTGAATCCTGACCATTACCTCAGGGGTCAGTGAATCCTGACCTAATATTACTACCTACGGGGTCAGTGAATCCTGACCTAATATTACCTCATGGGGTCAGTGATCCTGACCTAATATTACCTCAGGGGGTCAGTGAACCCTGACCTAATATTATATCGGGTCAGTGAATCCTGACCAAATATTACCTTGGGGATCAGTGAATCCTGACCATTACTTCAGAGATGAGCGATTCCTGACCAAATATTACCTGAGGGGTTGGTGAATTCTGACCATTTCCTCAGGGATCAGTGAATCTTGAGATTTACCTTAGGGGTCAGTGAATCCTGTCCATTACCTCAGGGGTCAGTGAATCCTGACCATTACCTCAGGGGTTGGTGAATCCTGACCATTACCTCAGGGATCAGTGAATCCTGACCTAATATTACCTAAGGAGTCAGTGAATCCTGACCATTACCTCAGGGATCAGTGAATCCTGACCTAATATTACCTAAGGAGTCAGTGAATCCTGACCATTACCTCAGGGATCAGTGAATCCTGACCATTACTTCAGGGATCAATGAATCCTAACCTAATAAAACCTCAGGGGTCAGTGAATCCTGATCTAATATTACCCCAGAGATGAGTGAATCGTGACCATTACCTCAGGGGCCAGGGAATCCTGACCAAATATTACCCCAGGGATCAGTGAATCGTGACTATTACCTCAGGGGTCAGTGAATCCTGACCTAATATTACCTCAGGGGTCAGTGAATCCTGACTATTACCTCAGGCATCAGTGAATCCTGACCTAATATTACTTCAAATATCCGTGAATCCTGACCATTACCTTCACGTGAACGGGGCCGCTCTGCAACTGCCCCACAACATGTGCAATCCACTAGGTGGCAGCGCAATGGTGCGGGCTTCAAGGGCTTAAAGCAGGAGGTGAAAAGACAATACAACAAATGCTCCCCCTCCAGAAGGGAGTAGGTATGGCACAGCCAATTCTCCCCAGTCAGCTGAATAGGGGCCTGCCACAACTGCCTCCGAATATGAATCACTCTGCAGAGACCAAAGAAAGTGTGAACAAACCTTTATTGTCACCTTGTCATTCCACACAAAACTTATTTCTTTTCCTTGGTGGCTACCTTCACTCCTCCACTACATTTATGGAGGGAGGCAGGGCCGTCACATAGGCTGGGCTACAAACAAGTCTGCCTTTATTCATGGCTATTACTATGGGGGGGGGGGGGGGGGGTAATCATTTACAGAAGAAAAATAACATTGTTTTTGCTTTTTTTCAGCTCACAGAAAGCGAGGAGGACTCTGCATTTCTGTCTGGCAAGGTCAACAGGTATTGTATTTGTAGGCTTTATTTTAACCTCCCTAGCGGTCTGATTATGTCCATATTTCTGTGCTGAAAGCAGTACATTTTTTTGCATGGAAATATGTCGTTTATTTATTGTAGGCCTGTAATTTTTAGGAATAACTCACTGAAATCTGTCCGAACAAGAGTCTAGTAAACATCCCGGGTATGATAAAACTTGAAACACAAAAACATAAATTATAATTTAACCCCTTCACGCCGAATCCTCCCGGCATGAAGAGGAGTTCCTGCGCCGGGAGGTGGACGGGGCGTGGCTTAGTGTCATGTGGCCGCCGTGACGATCGAAAGAGCGGACTGGGACCTTTTCGTGAGTACCTCACGTGTGCTGGGAGCGCGCAGGGCGCACGCTCTCAGCACATATGTTTTTTGCTACATGAACGCAAATGTGCGGCCGCTCGGCGTCTAGGCCCAGATGCCGGGAGGCTGCACATTTGCGTGCGGCCGGCGTGAAGGGGTTAATAAATAATAATATAATAATAATAAATTTAATTTAATAATATAATCAAACCAAAAAAACTGAAATTTGAAATATAGCTCCAAGTTCGCACATCGCTGAGCTCAGTCGCAGAATTGTTTTCAGTGTCTGATGACGAATTTCCCCACAAATCATTATCACTCAATTCTGCAAGTAGTTCTGATTTACTATCGCTGTTCTCTAGTGGGTCTAAAACCGCTTTTGACATAAAGGGACGCTTTTTGGACGCCATGGACGTTTCTCAGTTTCCAGGCAGAAAGAACAGTCAAAATGCAGGCAGGACACAGGACAAAGTACTCGGGACAAAATGTATGTGAAATGCTTTGAAACAGCAATGTTTTACTATGTAATATTCGTTTATTAGAAAATTACAGTTTTTAAAATGTTCAAATTTGCCGCCGGTTCCGGCCCCCGTACGTCCCGATGCTCGCAGGGACGGGAACACGGAAGCCGGATGCCGGCATCCGCCGGAGGAGATGGCCGGGGACGCTGCAGGGGACGCATCGCAGGAGCGAAGGACGAAGTAAGCGCTGCAAGGAATCCCTGAGCAACACCGCATGGTAAGCCCGAGTGTAGCTCGGGGTTACCGCTCTTGGTACTGAAACTTTACCCCGAGCTACACTCGGGAATACCGCCAGGGAGGTTAACTAGTATGCTGCGCTGGAAAAGATAAGTGAAAAAAAATAGCATATTAAAACAAAAACAAAATGTAGCATATAGAACTGTGACACAAGTCATACTGTAATTGAATGGTATTAAAAATGACCTTTCCTGTAGTCGCTGTCGTTTTCTGTAAAATGCCATGCAATATGGCGACCATCTGTGTACACAACGCCCCTAGAAACATCATTTCCTGCTTGTGTGATTGGCTCACTGATTTTCCTAGAAGTCTGCACTAAGGCTACTTTCACACTAATCTGCTGCATAAAACACATAGGCCTTTTTACCGTGCTTTTGCTGCACTTTCTGAGCATTTTTTAACCGCATCCCGACCGCCCCATAGCAGAACTACTGCTACAGGGCTGCAGGTCTGTGCAAAATCACATATACATATGTGATTTTGTATTTCCAGGTAGGGGGCGTGCGCACCTTACCCGCACCGCCAAGCTACCTACAAGCTACCACCAAGTTACAGCTGTCAATCACTGGGTCCCGGCCAAAGATTCCCCACCGGTACCCAGCGATCGCCAAGGAACACTGACGTGGGAGAGGTCTGCATGTAAACAATACAGATCTCTCCCGTCAGCTCCTGCACATTACTTTGTATTACTCTGCTATGCAGAGCAAAACAAAGCAGCATGCTTACACAGTAAAACACTCCCAGCACACAGTTAACCCTTTGATCTCCCTAGATGTTAACGCTTCCTGCCCAGTGCCATTTGTACAGTGTCAGTGCTTTTTATTATCACTGATCACTGTGTTAGTGTCATTGGGATGTCAGTGGCAATTAGTCAGTTCCCCACCAGTGTCAGAATGCCTGCCGCAGTCCCACTATAAGTCGTGATCGGCACAATTACTAGTATAAATAAAGAGCACTGATGATCAGTGTGCCCTGATGATCAGTGTAGCCCCAGCAGTGCCACCTGTCAGTGTCCATCAGTGCCAGCTGTCAGTGCTCATCAGTGCCACGTGCCAGTACCCATCAGTGCCACATGAATGCCACATATCAGTGCCTACCAGTGCACATCAATGCCACATATCAGTGGCCCTCTGAGCTGCCTTTCAGTGTCACCCATCAGTGCCAGTCAGTGCCACCTATCAGTGCTGCCAATCAGTGCCACCTATCAGTGCCAGTCAGTGCCGCCTATCAGTGCGCATCAGTGCCGCCTATCAGTGCCACCTATCAGTGCCAGTCAGTGCCGCCTATCAGTGCGCATCAGTGCCTCCTATCAGTGCCCGTCAGTGGCGCCTAACAGTGCCAGTGAGTGCCGCCTATCAGTGCCATATATCAGTGCTGCCTTTCAGTGCCCATCAGTGATGCCTGTCCATGCCCATCAGTGCCACCTATCAGTGTCCATCAGTGCAGCCTATCAGTGCCCATCACTGCAGCCTCATTAGCACACATCAGTGAAGGAGAAAAATCACTTATTTACAAAATTTTATAACAATTTTATAACAAAAACTAAGAAAAAACTTTTTTTTTCAAAATTTTCAGTGGTTTTTGGTTTGTTTAAGAAAAAATAAAAAACCCAGAGGTGATTAAATACCACCAAAAGAAAGCTCTATCTGTCACAAAAAAATGATAAAAATGTCATATGGGTACAGTGCTGCATGACCGCGCAATTGTCATTCAAACTGCAACAGCGCTGAAAGCTGGAAATTGGCCTGGGCAGGAAGGAGGTATAAGTGCCCTGTAGGCGAGGAGTTAAAGATATAACCTCAGGAGACCTTCCAAAATGCCCAGAATGCACTGAAAAATAGTAAAAAATTAACTATTTCAGACATTTTGAGATAAATAGAGAGAGCAGAAGCAGAGAGCAGTATTTGCTGAGATTAGCTGTCTTTTTTTTTGTGGTGTTTGGATGTGTTCCGGCTCATTTCTGTGCAGAAATTATTGCAGCCGTGTCTAACATATTTTCTTTCATGCAAAACCTCAAAGTATAGTGTACGAGGTCCATTTGAGTACCGGGAAAATGCTTTGCAATGCATTTTTCATGATGAAAAAAATCTCTGGACAGCATTTGGAAATGGAAGAGTTAAAAAACATTTTCAAACGCAACCGCTTATAAACACGGTTAGCCGCGTTTACAAGCGTTTGGCGTTTGAAACGCTGATAAAATCTACTCCTGAACACAAGTTTGGTGCATTCAAAAAAACGACTGTAAACTCAACTGCCTGTAAACGACTGTAAACGACGATGCGTACATGGACACATAGGAAAACATTAGGGAGAGTTCAGGGGCTGCTGATAAAAAAAAAACGCAGAAAAGCTCCTAAACGTGAGTTTATCATCTGCAGTGTACATGGAGCCTAAGGAGTCGTTCATCAGATGCAGTTAAAAACCCATGAAATAATGACAGCAATTCCACAGGCATGGTCTTGTTTTTTCAGCCATGCTTCAGTGCAAGTTTGATGTTCTCCATCCAGCTGAATCTGCAAGTCGTTGAACCATACTGAATATTTTGAAAATGTACCACAACAGATTAGTCTGGTGACCACAGTCCCATAAACACAAAGGGTTTTTTTTTTTAAATGATAGTGTCGTTTTTTTCTGCACCAAGAAATATAGCAATCTGCAAAAAGTTGTACAGTTACACTGTTTGGGAAACTTTGTTTCAATCTAACAAAAACTTCCACTGTGCCTGGCGCTCTCATAACTGCTTGTATTCTCCATTGTCCAATGTCCTAAAGTATCATCCTAAATAAGTCTAGGTTCACACCTATGAGTTTTCCGCTGCGTTTTGCAGAAACGCACAGCAGTCCATTTAACATGATTTCCTATGGGACAGGTTCACATCTCTACACAGTGGCTAAATAGTTAGCACTTTCACCTGGCAGTACTCGGGTCGTTGGTTCGAATCCCAACCACGGCACCACCTGCCTGGAGTTTGCATGTTCTCCCTGTGCCTGCGTGGGTTTCCTCCGGGTACTCCGGTTTCCTCCCACACTCCAAAGACATGCTGGTAGGTGAATTGGCTCCTGTCTAAATTGTCCCTAGTATGTGTATGTATGAATGTGAGTTAGGGACCTTAGATTGTACGCCCCTTGAGGGTTAGGGACTGATGTGAATGTACAATATATATGTATAAAATTGACGGCGCTATATATAAGTACCTGAAATAAATAATTAAATAATACATTTTCACCCGGTTAGTTTTTTTGGAAAGGGTCAGGGACTTTTTTTAAACGCAAACCGTTGCATTTTTGGTTCTGTAGATTTCAATGGAGACGCTGCAGAAAAGCATGTAGAGCGTGTTTTATTCTGCCCAACAGCAAGTTGAAAATAAAACGCAAAACACATCAAAAACGCATGTGCAAAAACTCAAAAAGTACTGCAGAAACGGATCAAACAAAAACTGCATAGGTGTGAACCTAGCCTAAGGCCTCTTTCACCCGGGCGGTTGTTCTGCTGCTTGTAAATGCATGTTTTTTTATTCTGAAATTCCAACACTCCTCACACGGATCACTTGCGTTTATACATTGCGTTTAGCTGAGGTTATGTGCGTTTACGAGCGTTTACATGCGGCTGCGTTTAGCTGCAGTTGAAAATATTGGCTTTTCTATAGCAACTCTTTACTTATTTTTTCTTTGTACTGCGATTAACTGCGTTTATGTACAGATAGTGCTGCGGTACATCGCTCCTGCACTCTGTTAACTTTATTTTTTCTAAATGCATAAAACCGTATGTTATGAAAACGTTGCTAAACGCAGTGTGTGAATGGAGCCATAGGGATGCATTGTCTGCATTTAGCTGCGGTAAGTAAGTTCCTCTATAACCACAGCTAAAACCTGAAATCTAACCGCTCGTGTGAAAGTGTCCTAACACGTGATCCCCACCTGCTGGATCACATTGCTCAGGCTAAGAGTAGACATTCCCCATGAACTAAGGAAGCATAACCTCACTGCCCTCTGTTGTAACCCGGGGCGGACTGACCATTTGGAAACTCGGGCACTGCCTGAGGGCCCGGGGTCAGTAGGGGGCCCCATGAGATGCCCCTGGTACCTTTTTCATAGGCTTTTTTGAGTTTGGGCAAGAACACAGGGGCCCCATGATCCCCTATTGCCCCGGGGCCCCATGAGTTGTCAGTCCGCCCCTGGCCAGCAGTGATCACATGCAAAAAATCTGATCACTGTGTTCTGCCAGCAGGGAAGGCTCCCCACCGTCAGAACACAATGGTACTGCAAGAGTGATTCCCCCATCAATACTCACGGTCAGGGGCGGACTGACGGATCATGGGGTCCCTGTGTCCTTGCCCAAACTCAAAAAAGCCTATGAAAAAGGTACCAGGGGCATCTCATTCTACTGACCCCGGCCCCAGGCGAGTTGTCAGTCTGCCCCTGGTTGTAACACAGAACAGGACCTGTACCCTTAGGCCCCATTTTCATAACATACGGTTTTATGCGTTTAGAAAAAAAAAAGTTGACAGCATCCAGGAGCGATGTACCGCAGCTCTCTGTACATAAACACAGTTAATTGCAGTACAAAGAAAAAATAAGTAAACAGTTGCTATAGAAAAGGCAAGAATTTACTACTGCAGCTAAACGTAGCTGCATGTAAATGCACATAAACACACGTAATCGCAGATAAGCGCAATGTACAAAAGCAAGTGATCTCTGTGCAAGAAGTGTTAGAATTTCAAAATAAAAAAAACATGCATTTAGAAGCGGTAAAACAACTGCCCGTGTGAAAGAGGCCTTAGGCTGCGTTCGCACTGATCCGTTTTTCTTCCACTTCTGCATTAAAAACAGCGGAAGTAAAAAATGTGGCCATGTACTCCTATGGAACTCTTCACACTTATCTATTGTGGGTCAGGTGCATTTTTTAATAGCATGCTTGCTGCATTTTTGGTGCAGGTTTGGTGCAGTAAAAGTAGAAAAAAAAAAAACACACCTCCCCATCGAAATCAATGGAAAACACAAAAAAAAAAACATTTAAAAAAGGACCCACGTTGCGCTTTTGGTGCAGTTTTCGAGCCAAATGTACTGCAAACGTCATAAAAATGTGGCAAAACCACATATACATTTTTGCTGCAGATCAGTAGCCTACGGGCTAGTTAACACCACAGATATGTTTTGGATACGTTTCTGCATTCCAGTGTGTTTTTGATGCGTTCCAGATGCTTTTTTCTTATTTTTCCTGTTTTTTTTTTTTTTACTGTACTGGGGTCCGGTGCATTATTTATGCATGAAGGTGCATTCCAGTGCATTTTTCATGTGTTTTACCATGTTCCAGTACAGTTCTGTGTAGGAAAAATGCAGCTTGTTCTACTTTTTTTTCTGGAACGGAAACACACTGGAACTGCAAGCACTGGTGTCAATTATGCCATTGAAAACCATGTAACTTACTTTCTGTGCATTGTGGATACAGAAAACAAAAGCACTGGAACGCATGTGGAGTGAACTAGCCCTAAAACCAGCCATAGATACATCAAATCGCAGCTGGTTCAGCAGGGACTGGCTGAGACTTGGTACACTCATAGGCAGACTGGTTGTACTGAAGTCGATCCATTGATTGCCTTCAGTACAATCAGCCTATTTGGATTTTTTGCATTCAGTCAGTGCCTGCAGCTATATTTGCCAGCAGCAGGGGTGGACTGGCCATTTGGAAACTCGGGCACTGCCCGAGGGCCCGGGGTCAGTAGGGGGCCCCATGAGATGCCCCTGGTACCTTTTTCATTGGCTTTTTTGAGTTTTGGCAAGAACACATGGGCCCATGATCCCCTATTGCCCGGGGGCCCCATGAGTTGTCAGTCCGCCCCTGGCCAGCAGTGATCACATGCAAAAAATCTGATCACTGTGTTCTGCCAGCAGGGAAGGCTCCCCACCGGCAGAACACAATGGTACTGCAAGAGTGATTCCCTCATCAATACTCACGGTCAGGGGCGGACTGACAACTCATGGGTCCCCTGGGCAATAGGGGATCATGGGGCCCCTGTGTCCTTGCCCAAACTCAAAAAATCCTATGAAAAAGGTACCAGGGGCATCTCATTCTACTGACCCCGGGCCCTCGGGCAGTGCCCGAGTTTCCAAATGGTCAGTCCGCCCCTGCTCACGGTGTTGATGGTAAATCCATGGTGGAAGGAAAGAAAATTGTATTTTCTATGACCTGCCTAAGTCTAGGTTTACACTTCTGCGGGTGGGGACTGCATATAAATTGCACGGGGGGGTGGTTGCATTAATTCTTAATGGCACCCCCACATACTGGAAACCGCAGTATGTTTCCTGTGCTGGGATCTGCATTGCACTTTGTGGTTTCCCTG